AAATCCCTATGAAGCGGTATATAAGTCTAATTGCTATTGCTATTGCTATTGATATCAACACAATATAAAAAAATACATATCAAAAGAAAGTAAAGACAAAATGGCTACTAAAGATGCTCTGTATCAGAGATGTCCCACTTTGGCAATTTAAGACTTCTGGGCTTCAACTTCCAGAAATCCCCAGCCAGCAATTCTGGAAGTTGAAGTCCATAAGTCTTAAGGTTGCCAAGGTTGGACATCCCTGCTCTACATCACCAGTTAATATTCTTCTGTCAATCTCCACATCCAGGAACACAGCCAGATCGCGAAAGCTTTCAATAGGTGAGTCAGGACCAAGCTAAACTTGAGTTTTATGATTTTTCCAGAAGCACCTTTTTGTGTCCCACTAGATGACAATCCCTGTTCAGAGGGACCTGGAGCATGCCATCCTGCCCATCCTATGGGATGGGTCAAAACAGTGGGAAGAAGGAGGTCCTTCAAATATCATATTCCCATTTCATATGGCTAATAACAATACTTATTATTTCTGGATGGTTAGAATATGTTCATCAAAATAAATTTTCTAGAGCCTGCTCCCAGATTTGTGAACTTTTCCATCTACAGACACATGTGTATATGCAAATTCTACTGACAATAACATGCCTTGTTTTGTTCTTTTAAAACCTATTAAGAACCAGTTGGAAAAATCTAGGCATTTTCTGAGGTTATTTTTTTTAGCGTGCAAACAAATATAAACCTACATATGTATATAACTAATGATAGTGGCATCTGGCTGAACTATGCTACCTTGAAAAAGCTAAGTAAGAGGGAATTTGGCTAGTGCTTGCGTGGAAAACCACCAGTTTGGCTGCAGGCTACACTGGGACATTGAAAAAGGAGAACAACCACCCGATCTCACACTAAGCAATGGCAAGCAATTTCTGTATGTGTATCAAGAAAATACAAGGACCTACCCACTTGGGTAGCTAGACTTGAATATGTGCAAATATAAAAAAACACTTTCCTTTTTAATGTTTACACAAGCGTTTTATTTATTTACTGGTTAGATTTATATCCATCCTTGCCTCCAGGGGCTCCCTGTCTAATAATTAGTAAATATATTGCAGTAATGATTTTTCCAATAGTAAATTTAGCCAGGGAGTGCTGGCAAGATTCTAAACCAAACAGTAACACTTGGAAATACTAGGGAGAATTAGGATACTCTGGGAACCAAAACCAGTAGTCCTATGAGGACAGGATATACCCAAAGGCCCCAGAATGTGTAGTGTGTTTATATAAGTATACCGATATGGGAAAAAGAACATTTGGCAGAGGAATTAGCTGGAATACCCTGAAAAGCAGCATTAGTAGCTGATGATATCATTGAAAAGAAGTATTCTATATTGCAATGTTTGCTGCTATCCCCACTTATTTGTATTTTGAAGCATATTTTTGAATCTTCCTGTTTTGCTAGTAGAATACAGTATCTAACCTTCATTTCAAAGACTAAGTTTGGGGACTCTCACAATTATAATTCTTGATAGATATTTTGAGAAATGCTTTCGAACTGCTAGATTGGCAGGAGCTGAGGCGAGGATGGGACCCCATCACATGGCGCTTGGGTCTCAAACCTGGGCTGCTGGCTTTCCAGCTAACAAGCCAATGCATCGCCTTAATCTTTTGTTCCCAGTTGTAAATTTCAAAATATTAAGATTAAAGTTAGAATTCCTGATAGCTTGTTAGGTACGCTGTATTTTAATGTTTTAATATTGAATGTTTTATTAATTTGATAGCTGCCCAAAGTCACTCAACAGTAAGATGGTCAGCACCTACATTTAATAAATACAATAAAATAATTAAATATTGTCATAAAGCAAATCTTAAACTGAGCAGTTAAGGAGGAAAATTATCCAAGGGAAACATGGAGATGTTCCATTTTATTTTTTTTACTGTAAATGGCATCATAGTTTATTTGCTTACCTTCAGGATGTGTGTATTGTCAGACTCCTTCGGTTCTATTCTAAAAGACGTGAATTCTTCAGTCTGTAAACATTTTCACACTGACCAGGCCTTCAGCAGAGCCAACATATGAAATCTATCAAGAGACTTATTTTCTGATAAAAGAAATGGCTAAGGACAATTGACATTATTGTTTGAAGTCCACGGCTTTCATGCTTGTTTAGTACTGTAGAAGTGGAACCAGGGGCCTGGGCTGAGGAAAGAGAGGCTGCCCAAGGTCTCTTACCTTGAACATATTTTGAGCTGCATCTGCCTCCTATACAGGGAAAGTAATATGATTTTGATTAGTTTCTGATGAGCTGCAATTTCAGTAAGTGCAACTCCAGCGCTGCTATTTTCTGATGCTGCTACATTTCAGCAATAATTTAAGAAGACTGTTCCTGGTTTATTGATAAAACAATCAGTCAGTATCTAAAAACATCACTTTCAGATAAAGCATCTCATTGCGCACCTACATTTTGGCTCACATTTCTTTTTCTCTGTTAGCTTATGGAAGAACCCGAGCCAAAAGTCACTTCAGGCTCTTGGCGGACATGAATCCTTAAAAAGGCCAAATTCAAGATTTCTGTTTCTGATTTTACCAAATTACTCGCTTTGGCTTATATGGCATAATCCCTCCCAGGATTGTATTATTTTAGAATGCCAGCAGTTGAATTATATTTTTAAATGTTTATCAAAAGAAAAAGCAAAATTCTCTGGGCACTTGGAAGATTTGGCATACTGCAGTCTAGGACTTCTTTATGCAATCTTGATTTTCTAAAGGCAAAACCCCAAATCCTATATTTTTCAAAGTGTCCATTTTTGCCACATTAAGTAGTAGTACCATGCAGAATGTTGTGTTCTGTCAGTAGTACCATGCAGAATGTTGTGTTCTGTCACACAGGATATGAACCTTATGGAGCAAAGCATCCAATGTATGCGGTCACTGGAAATATAAACTGATGCATTGAATGTTCCAGAGGTGCTTTTTCAAAAGGCAACTGGACTTTATTTTTCCTTAAAGACATTTCACTTCTGAAGAAGCTTCTTCAATGAGAAGCCAAATATCTTCAAGGAAAAACAAAGTCCGGTTACCTTTTGAAAAAAACACCTTTATCACAAGCATGAGCTGGATGACTGAGAATCTCCACAGATGATAAAACTCTGTAGAGATTCTCAGTCATCCAGGTGATGGTTGTCCCAAAGATGCTTTTTCAGGAAGCAACTGGACTTTCTTGTTTTTTTCTTTTAAGATGATTTGCTTCTCATTCAAGACGCTTCTTCAGCTATGAATCCTTCCATTCCTCCCAATCCTGTCAGACAGTAGTGGGATTCAGCCAGTTCGCACCTATTCAGGAGAACCAGTTATTAACTTTCTAAGCAGTTCGGAGAACTGATTGTTGGAAGAA